CTCCTCCTCCTCCTCTTCCTGGTCGTCCTCCTCCTCCTGGTCGTCCTCCTCCTCCTGCTCGTCTTCCTCCTCCTCCTGCTCGTCCTTCTTCTCCTGCTCCTCCTGCTCCTCGTCCTGCTCCTGCTCGTCCTCGTCCTCCTGGTCTTGCTCGTCCTCCTCCTCGTCGTGCTCTTGCCCCTGCTGAAAATGTGGCCAGGAATGGGAGTTCTGGGAAGTCGAAGAGCACGAAGTTGCCTGCAGTTGGCTACGGGCATTCAAAATGTGGCCCGGGAATGGAGTTCTGGGAACTCGAAGAGCACGAAGTGGCCTACAATTGGCTCCGGGCATTCAAAATGTGGCCCGGGAATGGAGTTCTGGGAACTCGAAGAGCACGAAGTGGCCTACAGTTGGCTCTGGGCATTCAAAATGTGGCCCGGGAACGGAGTTCTGGGAACTCGAAGAGCACGAAGTGGCCTACAGTTGGCTCCGGGCATCCAAAATGTGGCCCGGGAATGGAGTTCTGGGAAATCGAAGAGCACGAAGTGTGTGACTGTTGCATCCGGCCCTCCAGAATGTGGCCCGGGAATGGCGTTCTGGGATCTCGAAGAACACGAAGTGTGTGACTGTTGCATCCGGGTATTCAGAATGTGGCCTGGGAATGGAGTTCTGGGAAGTCGAAGAGCACGAAGTGTGTGACTGTTGGTGAAAAACGAGCCCGGCACCCTGCCGCCCGGCAACTCCCCAACACCTGCCCGGACCCCCCTGTGGAGTGATCTGTGAGCTCTTTTGAGTCAACTAGAAACCTATCAGTCTTCGCTGTTAGGTAACTATTTTTTGACTATTTTTGAACATCCCCCCTGTAGAGGGACAGGCCCGACTTAAACCTAACGCCCGGTCTTAACGTGCTCTGGGCGTGCACCCCGTGAAGCGAGAGGGATCTATATACTGATTGCGCGGGGGGGGGCGGCCAGCCTCAGAGGCGATTGCGTCTATGTACTGTCGGCCACGCTGGGCGTTGACAGCGGCGAGGGGGGGAGCACCTACATCTTGCGATCGCCGCCGCGTCCACTTTTCAGAGCCTGAGTCTGCACCCCCCACGTGCACGATTGACGGCGCAGGAGAGCGCGAGGGAGGAGGAGGAGGAGGAGGAGAAGGAGGAGGAGGAGGAGGAGGAGGAGGAGGAGGAGGAGGAGGAGGAGGAGGAGGAGGAGGGGGAGGAGGAGGAGGAGGGGAGGAGGAGGAGGAGGAGGGAGGAGGAGGAGAGGGAGGAGGAGGAGGGAGGAGAGGAGGAGGAGCTCTCCGATAGCCCAGGCGGCGCTCTGCGCGGGGAGCCACCGGCGGCTGCAAATCATGTGTGTCTCGGCGTTCGGGGGGCGGCAACGCCAAACCGCAGGGCGGCAATCACTCGGCGGCGAGCGAGGGGAGGAGGTAAGAGAGGGAGGAGGAGGAGGAGGAGGAGGAGGAGGAGGAGGAGGAGGTGGAGGAGTTAGGAGGGGGAGGAGGAGGGGAGGGGGAGGGGGAGGGAGGAGGAGGAGGAGGAGGAGGAGGATGAGGAGGAGGAGGAGGAGGGGGAGGGGGAGGGGGAGGGGGAGGAGGAGGAGGAGGAGGAGGAGGAGGAGGAGGAGGAGGAGGAGGAGGAGGAGGAGGAGGAGGAGGAGGAGGAAGAGGGAGGAGGAGGCCTCATCGGAAGGCGGCGGGGCTTCTCCGTGGCCCTCGAGCCTGCTGAGAGTGCCCCTGTGTCTCTGGGGCAGGCTGCGACGGCTCCTCCGCGGGCCCGGGGCCTTCCGGGCCCTCCGGAAGGCCCCCGCCCCCTCTCGCTTGCCCCCCCTCCTCGCCATCGCTCGGACGTCCATTCTCTGTGCACTCTTCGGTCTCGTGCGTGCGTCTTCTTTATTTCCCCCAGGGTGGGCACACTGCCCCTCGAGGGCCCTCGCTGAGAAAGTGCACACGCTCGAGCGGTGCCCAGCCCCTGAACTCGCCGCCGATCCTGAGGGGAGGGCGCTCGCTCACTGCCCAGCAGGAGGGGGGGGGGCCGGGCCCTGCCCGGCCCCACCGACGAGGCGACGCGCCCCCCCTGTTCTCGGGAGCGCGGCCCAGAGGGGCGCGTCCGCGAGGGGGGGGGGTGCAAATCGTGACCGGCGGCACGTGCGCGGCCCAGGGGCGGGGGGGGGGGCTGGGGACGTCATGAAATAAGTAGAGGCGCCATGAAACCGGAGGAAACATCATGGCCCCCGCCATGATATCCCCCTCGCCCTAGTCATCACCCCCCTCTGGTTGCTGGAGGCGCCCCTGGCCCAAGGTGCCCCCAGCTTTCCGCCTCATGTTGGAGCCCCCCGGGCCCTCTGGGCCTCGTGACGGGGTGCTGTGGAGGCCGTGTGGGGCGCCCTGGAAATCCTGGTGGCACCCTGGGCCATGGGCACTTCTGGCAACATTAGACGAAGAGCAAACGCCATAAACATAAACTTTTGACGCTCCGCGCGGATTTCTTGGATCCGCGCTGGACCCCCTCCCTGGCGCGCGGAGCGCGCCAGGGGCAGCGCCAGGGGCGGCGCCGGAGGCGCCGCCGGAGGGGCCCAACGCGGATCCAAGAAATCCGCGCGGAGCGCCGAAAGTTTATGTTTATGTTGTCTTTTCATTATTTGAAACACTGGGCTCACCGCTGAATCACAGCGGCAGCGGTGAGGCTGCTGCGCCGGGGTGCCTCGGCGTCGCCCCGCCAGCGCTGCGGCGCGGCCACGTCCACCCCGACCAGGCGCAGGGGGTCGCTGGCGAGCACCACCCAGCGGCCGTCGTGCGAGACCTGGCGGCACAAACTGCAGCGAGAGAGAATGAACAATACGTTTGCCTCATCCTTTTCCTCCTCCTCCTCTTCCTCCTCCTCCACCACCTCCTCCTCCACCTCCTCCCCCTGCGCCACCTCCGTCTTCTTCTTTTTCTCAGTCCTCCTCCTCCTCCTCCTTCTCCTCCTCCTCCTTCTCTTCTTCTTCTTCTTATTATTATTATTCTTATTATTTTTCTTATTATTCTTCTGAGCATTATTATTCTTATTGTTTTGCCTCCTCCTCCTCCTGCTCCTCCTCCTCCTGCTCCTCCTCCTCCTCACACACTTCCTCCGCCTACCCTGCCACGTTGTCCTTTAGCTCCTTCCTGTGATCACACATCCCGTCGCCATCGACGGCCAAAACCTTCAGGGTCGGCGGCACCGGCCGCAAGGCCTTCACAATAAATACACGCAAATAACAGGATTCCCCATATGTCCCTATATTTTCTGGGGCTTTGGGTCTTCCCCCTTACGTATTTTCCGGGGGAGTCGACGATTACTTGTGTCTGTGTTTTTTGTTCTTCTCCTGGACAGCATCGCGTCGAACAAAAATTGACATCAGAGAAACAAACCCAATCAGCGGAGGGTTTGAAATGGGATCGATGACGAGATCGAGAAGGAGATCGACCGGGAACCGGAGAAAATCGATAGAGATATCAATAAGGAGATGGATCGATAAGGAGATCGTCGCGGTGTTAAGCAAAAAACTAAATACCAAAAGAAACTCTCAAGGAGATAAGGAGATCGACCAGGAACCTGGGCAACCAGAACCCACCGACATCGGGCCGGACCCAATGCCAGGAACCCGGGAGCCCCGAACTGTGAACCGGGGAACCCAGCCGGCCACCAAAATCGGCGGGACACTTTCGGCAACTCCTTCAATTTCAGCCAGAACCTGCAAGCACTGATTGGGGAATCAGGGCGGGAGGCTTTGGGCCAATTTCGGCCTCGGGGGGCCCTCGCCGGGCCTCGGGGCCGTCAGAGAACTGCGCGGGAGGAACAGCCAGCCCCGGGGGAAACGGTCTGGGCTTCTGGGGACGCCGTCCTGAAAAAAACAGGACGTCACATGTCTTGGGGGCCAGCTTTTCTCCTCCAGGGAATTCACCTCCGGGCTCCTGTCCAAGGTGTACCTTTTCCTGCGCGTCCCGTTCGGCACCGCCTGATCCCTGGGCTTCGCCTGCTTCTGGCCGCGTGAGGCCCCGCCTGCTCCCGCCCCCCTCTCTGCCAATTAAAGCTGTGCGCGTCCCGCGGAGCTTTTAGCGGAAGAGACTCGCTCTCGCCCTGCTGATCAAAAGTCCAGGGAGCCAGCGGCGCAGCCTGCCGCGCCAAGCGCGTCTCACAGCGCGCAGGCCAGCGGGGCGGTCACAGCACCCCGAGGCCCGCCGCGAGCCGCAGTGCGGGCGGCGTGGCCGGACGAGTCGGCCGTCCTGCGTGGCCAGCTTGCCAGCAAGGGACCCAACGGCATGATGGGGTCCGCAGGCGCGGCACTGCCCAGCGGCGCGCTGGCGCTGCCAGCGGCGCCCTGGCGCTCTCGGGCAGCAACCGGGCGGGAGGCCCGTCGGCAGCGGCCACGTCGGATGCAGACGGCCTGGCTCGGATTGCCTGGGGCGCACTCCCGGACATCCACGGGTGCCCAGCAGCGCTTCCCGAGGCCTCCGCAGCAGGCTGGGACCGGCTCGTCTTGTCCGTCGGCGGCGCGGTGGAGCAGGGCGCGCGCGCGCGCGAGCCGCTGAGGGCTTCAACGGCGGCTGTGACGGCGGCGGCGTCTGCGGCGGTGGGCCCAACGGCGGCGATCCGCTGGCTGGCGAGGTCAATACCTCCCTTCTCCCTCCTCCTCCTCCTCCTCCTCCTCCTCGTCTTCCTCCTCGTCCTCCTCCTCGTCTTCCTCCTCCTCCTCCTCCTCCTCCTCCTCCTCCTCCTCCTCGGGGGAGGCCAAGTGCAAGCCACCCGAGCGCGACAGCCAGCGCCGGCGGGGCCCCCGGTGGGCCCGCACCGAAGAGCGCTGCGGCGAGGGGCCACTCTCTCGCTGGCGGCGCGCACAGGGGGGTTAGGGGGAGTGGGGAGGGGTAGGGCTTCTCAGGAGGCTGCTCCTTCGAAGGCGCTGGCCCTGCATCTACAGACAAGGCCCGCGCCTCCTAAGACGCAGGGGCGAAAGTAAGAAGCTCCCCCCCCTCCCCCCTTCGGTGGGTCCGCGCGGCGACGGCACGCGAAAAGGTTTTTGACACCGCGTCGACCGTTCAACCTTGCATCGATCGCGGCCCCGATCGTTCAAGGCTGGACTCTGTCGGGCCCAGTGGCGCCACCAGGTCCCTCTCGGTGCTCCCGCGCCGCAGAAGCCAACCTCGAACGCCGTCATCGGCCTCGCGGGCACGCCAACGCCGCACGATCCTGCCGTACACCCTGCGAAATGCTAAAGAAATCATGGGTTAAGAAATTCATAGTGTCTCAGAACTTGAATAAGAACCCCAATTGTCCATTCAAATCTTAGGATTGACATTGAAACATCAAGAATCATCGAGACCCTGGCCGAAATCTTGGGTTTTCTTAAGCATCGCCTGGAGTGTACGTGCGCCCCTCTGCGTGCCGCCGACCTTATGCGTGGCCGCCGTCGGCTTGCGCCGCGGGCACCTCGCGGGCCCGCCCCGGGCCCTCGGCGCAGCCGCGCGGCACCCGCGAGGCGGCCCGCCCGGCGGCGGCCGTGGCGGCAGCGGCATGCACTCGGGGGCGACGAGGGGGGCGAATGGCCCAGGGGAGAGCACTGCATGCACTCCAGATTTCGTAATAAAAGGGAGGGGGTCTCATTTCGGGGGGGGTCTCTTCCAGGCTATCTTGGAGGGCCTGGGGGGTCTGGGGGCGATGTTTTGGAGGGTTCTTCCACGGGGGTGGTCTGAAATTGCTTGTCTTGGAGGGTCCAGACCCCCTCCCTTTTATTACGAAATCTGAAAGAATCATCCAAGGGCGCTGGTGATCCACACCTTCGGCGAGGCTCCGAGGTGGATGCGTGCAATGCCCACCCCTTGGGCGGCGGCCAGCCGGTTGGCTCGGCGCCGCCGCTTGCCTCGGCCCTTCGCCCGGCAGCCCGACTTGGGCCGCAGACTTGTCGGGCGATGCGTAGCACCCACGCGTGGCTCCCGTGAAATCAACGTTCGCGAGCCGCTGCCCTTCGATGATCTGGCGGACCTTGCGGGCTGCGAAGCCGGCGCTGCCGTGCGCACGAAGGCCGAAACGCTTGCCAGCTGGCTCTATCTCAAGAGTTGCTTATGACAGCGCACCGTATTCTTCTGAAAAAAATCGGATTGACCACCGAATCCTGCACGGCTTGCTTGCTCGAGTAGTTCCTCGGGCGGAAGACCAAGATGGTGGGATCCGGCGCTCTGTCGAAGGACGGGCTTGCTGCCTCTTCCACCTCAGCGGGCGTCTCCTGTCGCAAGAGGCCCAGGATCTGTTCCAAACGCTTGACCTTATCCGCGATCTCGACGACCTTCAAGTTGGTCTTCTTTCGATATCCCTCCCCTCCCGCGAGTCGGTTCTCCATCTGCGTCGAGGGTCGCGTGCATGCGGTCTGGACCGTGTTGGCAAGCTGGCCGACGGACGTCTGGATGACACTGATCGACTGCAAGAGCTCGTTGCGCGTGTTATCAATGGATGCTTTGAAATCACCTTCAGCTCGTGGAATTCAGAGCCTCTCGAGCGATTGCGGCGATTCGCATACTCATCATCACGTCCTGCGTCACGCCAGCGTTCACGACCTCCACGTTCACGAGGCGGAGACTCGATAGCCCCAGTACCAGCACGCTCAGGACCGTGCTGCGATGGGAATGTCGGAGCGGCCTCCAGCTGCGCTGCCAGCTCACGCCGCTCTGCATCGGATACTGGCAACTGACCATGTGCGCTCATCGCTCGCTTCACTACCTGGTAGTAAGCTCCCGCAGCAGCGGAGCACAACACACCACGCCTTGACGGCTGACGTGTGGATCGCCAGTTCACCTGCCTCCGTTCGAACCAGCCCCTCGGCTGCGATCAAGCTCAAGCCACGGGGCGATGGTTTCAACATGAACCAGAATTGCTGCGGATCTCCTCCTCCTCCTCCTCCTCCTCCTCCTCCTCCTCCTCCTCCTCCTCCTCCCTCTCCCCCTCCTCCTCCCCCTCTCCCCTCTCCTGCTCCCCCCTTCTCGCGCGCCCCTCCTCCCGACCCACCCCCAACTCTCGCCCCGCGGGTCCTCCCTTCCGCCCGGCCCCCGGACGCCGACAACTGCCGCCCCCCATGATTAGGCGTCCAGGGGAGGGGCTCGCAAAACGGCACACGAGGCATGTGCGCGGACGATGGGGGGACCAGTGGATGCAGTGAACGATTATTTCAATACGCCCACTGGTCCCCTCCTCCGTCCCTCCTTCTTGAAGAAGGAGGGGCCCCCCTTCTTAAAGGAGGAGGGGCTATGATATCCGAATCTATAACATGGCTTGGTCATGATATCCACCGTCCTCCAATCATCGCCAGCCTCCTCCTCCTCCTTCTCCTCCTCCTCCTCCTCCTCCTCCTCCTCTTCCTCGTCCTCGTCCTCCTCCTTCCCCTCCTCCTCCTCCTCCTCCTCGTCCTCCTCCTCGTCCTCCTCCTCGTCGTCCTCCTCGTCGTCCTCCTCGTCTTCCTCGTCCTCCTCGTCCTCCTCCGCCGCATGGCCTCCCCCGAACCCCCCCCCTTCTTCTTCAGAAGCGGCGGAGGCACGCGGCGGACGTTGAAGTTGAAGTTGGGCAGCCCGTCGGGCAGCGGTCGGAGCAGGAAGGGCTTCTTCCCGCGGGTGCGGCCCTGGCACGCCCCGACTCTGAAGCGGAGGGGTGGCGGGCACGAGGAGGATCGGGGGGGCGTGGCTGAGCCGGGTTGGACTCGACTGGATCTGCTTGTGCTGGACTGCATTCGCCTGGTGTGGCTTGGACTGGACTGGATTGGGCGGCTGGGTTGGACTGGATTGAGTCGGGGGAACCGGGTTGGACAGCATGCGTTTGGACTAATTGGATTGGATTGGACTCGGCTTCCGACTCGACTCGCTGTCTCGCTTGCAGGCAGTAGGTGGCACAGGGAGGGGGTCAGAAACCACCAGCCAACAAACCCACACTGACCCCCACTAGCAGAGCCCGCAACCCCCACAAACACCAAGATAACAGAGGCCGGTCGGAAGATGTAGGTGGAAGCGTGAAGTAGACAGGCGGACGAAATAGATTGGCATTGGCCCCGCCCTGGTCAGAACAACAAAGAATCAAACAAACAATCAAGCAAAAAACAAACAAACTAAGTAACAACATCAGGAACAATAACATCACCCGCATCCTAATCATCCCATCATCATCAACATCGCCAACAAGAACAGCAGCAGCAACAACAACAATCATTTTAAGACTGTTCACCCTTATCTGCTCGAGTGTCCAATAACGCCTATTTCCCAGACCCTCGATACCCGCCCTTTTCGTCTTCGATCGAACCCCTTTTGGTGGGTATACCTTTCTTCCCTGCAAGCCGGGCCCCGGCAAGCGGCGAGGCGGCCGCGGGCCGTCGGCCTGGCCAGCGGCAGCGCTGATCGGCGGGGCGGCCGCGGACCGTCGACCCGATCCCAAGAGGGACGGACAGGGGACCGACCACGACGACGACGACGACGACGTCGACGACGACGGCGACGACGACGACGACGACGATCACGGCGACGAGCGAAAGCGAGAGAGAAAGAGAACGACAGCAGGGCCACAAGGACACGAAGTAGGCCACGAAGGGCAACATCGGGCACACCAAGGGAATGCGTACGGGGCCACGAAGAGCGCGAACGAGCGGGGGCCACGAAGGGCAGATAATGCGGGGCCACAGAAGGCAACGATGGGGCCACTGAGGGTAGCAACTGGGCCACGTAGGACATATCCATATGGAGCACCACGGGCGCGAACGAGCGGGGGCCACGAATGGCATACATATATGGGGTCACGAAGGGCAGCGAGGGGGCCACGAAGGGATGCAACGGGGCCACGACGGGCAGCGAAGGGGCCACGAAGGGTTGCAACGGGGCCACGAAGGGCTGCGACGGGGTCACGAAGGGCAGCGAAGGGGCCACGAAGGGCTGTAACGGGGCCACGAAACAAAGGGGGGCCACGAAGGACTGCAACGGGGCCACGAAGGGCAGCGAGGAGGCCACGAAGGGCTGCAACGGGGCCACGAAGGGCAGCGAGGGGGCCACGACGGGCTGCAACGGGGCCACGAAACAAAGCGAGGGGGCCACGAAGGGCTGCAACGGGGCCACGAATGGCAGCGATATCTCGATTTCCTATGTAATCTGTGATGGAGTCCTAAGCGTGAGCGCGACTCCTGGGTGCCTGGGTGTCGGGCGCGCGGCGCTTGAGTAATTAAATTGTAAGAAATTCCCACGCAAGGGCGCTACTGTTGAGTAAATTGCAAGCAAGTCTCCAGCGAGAGCGCGACTCCAGAGCGCCGGGATAATAAATTCTAAGGAAGTCCCAAGCGGGAGCGCGATTCCTGAATAAAACGCGAGGAAGTCTCGGGCGGGAGCGGGGGTCCTGGCTAAATCCCACCAGCCCTCTGGGCGTCGGTGGTTTAGAGCGTTTCCTCTTCCACCCCTCCTTCTTTCCCTTCGGGGAGGGGTTTACCCCTCCCCCTACCCCCTCCCCGCTGACCTGGACAGGGGGGGCGGGGAGCGGTCAGAGCGTCCAAAACGGCCTCGCCGAAAAAGCCAAAATCATTGATTTTACAAAGGTTTTGGCCCCATTCTGGCCCCCAGAGGGGGCAGCACTAATTGAAGCTCCCCTCTTCTTTGATCGATTTCCTCCAAGATGGCCCCAAGAAGCGCCCAGGAGGCACCAAGAGGCCCCAAGATGGCCCCAAGATGGCCCCAAGAGGCCCCCAGGAGGCCCCCAAGAGGATCCCAAACGGCCCAAAGAGGCCCCCCCGAGGCACCCAAGACGCCGAAAAGCCCTCAGGACGACCCTCTACTCGCCTGGGCGTCGTTTCTGGACGGGCTGGTGGGGATACGCGAAGCGTCTAGAATTGTGAAGCAGTCTGAGGCGGGAACCGCTGTTGTTGTAAACCAGGGGCCAACGACACAGTTTGACCCTCAAGACTTTCCCTGATAAAAAACAAAGTGCGAGCCCCGGGAAGGGCCCTTCAATCGGAAAAAACAATGTGCACTGGACGGGGGGGATCAACAGTAATTGTTCCTCAGAAATGAAAGTTCAACACCAACATCAACACCAACACCACCAACAACAACACTCATGTTGAGACTGTTCGCTCCTATCTTCTCGGGCGCCCGTCTTCGCGTATTTCCCAAACCCTCGATACCCGCCCTCTTCGTCTTCGATCGAACCCCTTTTGGTGGGTATACCTTTGTTCCCTGCAAGCCGGGCCCCGGCAAGCGGCGAGGCGGCCGCGGGCCGTCGGCCTGGCCAGCGGCAGCGCTGATCGGCGGCAACCCGACCCCAAGAGGGACGGACAGGGGACCGACCACGACGACGACGACGACGACGACGACGACGTCGACGAAAACGACAGCGACGACGACGAGCGAAAGCGAGAGCGAGAGAGAAAACGACAGCAGCGCCACGAAGGGCACGAAGTAGGCCACGAAGGGCGACAGCGGGGACACGAAGGGAATGCGTATGGGGCCACGAAGTGCACGAACGAGCGGGGGCCACGAAGGGCAGATAATGCGGGGCCACAGAAGGCAACGACGGGACCACTGAGGGTAGCAACTGGGCCATATAGGACAGCGAGGGGGCCACAAGGGGCGACACCAGGGCCACGAAGGGCATGCACATGGGGCCACGACGGGCGCGAACGAGCGGGGGCCACGAAGGGCATACGTATATTGGGCCGCGGAAGGCAAGGACGGGGCCAAACAACAACAACCACAACAAAACCACCACCAGCAACAATAGCAGCATTGACAACATAAACAGCATAAGCAACAACACCAACAACAACAATCATTTAAGACTGGTCACCCTTACCTGCTCGCGGGCCAGTCAGCACGTATATCCCAAACTCTCGGTACCCGCCCTCTTCGTTTTTGATCGTGCCCCCCTTGGGGGATATATTTTCTTACCTGCAACGTGTAGTTCGTGCAGCCCCTAAGGCAGGGGAAGAGAGGGCGGATGGAAGGAAGGAACAAGGGGGAGGAGGATGGAGAACGAGAGAGAATGGCAGGAGGGGGGCTCGGAACAGAAAACACGTGGCAGAACCAGACGGGCAGATCGGGCGGGTAGACCCTAACGGGCGGGTCGGGAAGGCGGGCCCAGGCGGCCAGGTCGAGCAGGCAGGTTGCTGAAGCGTGCGTCCTGCATGGATCGCGAGGAAGTCTCGAGCGATAGCGCGATTCCCAAAGAAATCGTCTGGAAATCGACAGCGAGAGCATGATTCCTGAGTGTCGAGGGCGTGGCGTCTGAATAAACGACGGGGAAGTCCCGCGCGAGAGCGCGATTCCTGCATAAATTGGACGTCCAGCGCGAAAACCTGATTTCTCAATAAAGTGTCAAGAGATATCAAACGGGAACCGTCATTGTTGCAACTCAGGGGCTGGGGGGGCGCAGCTTGAGGCTCAAGACTTTTCCTTATACAAAAAAAAACCGGGTGCGAGCCCCGGGAGGGGCACTTCAACTGAAAAAGCAAAATGTGCACTGGGCAGGAGAGATCTACACATATTTGTTTCCAAGAATGAGGGTTCAAACACAACAGCAGCATCAACAACACCAACAACAACATACACATAAACATAAACTTAACAACAACAATCGCAACAACAATAGCAACAACAACAGCAACAACAGCAGCACCACCACCAACAACAACAACAACAATAACAGCAGCAACGCTGACAACAACAACAGCAGCAACAACAACAGCAACAACAACAACACCAACAACAACAACAGCAGCAGCAACAATAACAACAACAACAACAACAACACCAACACCAACACCAACAACAACAACAACAACAACAACAACAACAACAATAACAACACCAACAACAACAACAACAACAACAACAACAACAGCAGCAACAGCAGCAACAAAACACATGTTAATAATGTTCGCTCTTATCTGCTCGCGTGCCATTCAACGTATATTCCAAACCCCTCGATACGCGCCTTCTTCGTCTTCGATCGTACCCCCTTGGGAGTAGATCGTTCTGACCTGCAACGTGTATTTCGTGCAGCCCCCGAAGGCAAGGGAAGAGAGGACGGATGGAAGGAAAGGACCACGGGGAGGGAGGAGGACGGAGCGCGAGAAAGATCAGCAGGAGGGGGACCAGGAGCAGAGCGAGCAGCAGGGGGTCGCGAGCGAGCGGGGGCCACGAAAGGCATACGTATGTAGGGCCACGAAGGGCAACAGTGGGGCCCCGAAGGGCAATGGTAGGAGCCACGACGGGTAGCAATGGGGGCCACGATGGGCGACAGCGGGGGCCACGAAGGGCAGGCGTATAGGGCCACGAAGTGCGCGCGCGAGCGGGGCCCACGAAGGGCATATGATGCGGGGCCACAGAGGGCAGCGACGGGGCCACTGATGATAGCAACGGGGCCAGGAAGGGCAGCGAGGGGGCCACAAAGGGCGACAGCGGGGCCACGAAGGGCGCGAGCGAGCGGGGGCCACGAAGGGCATACGTATATGGAACCACAACGGGCGACAGCGGGGCCACGAAGGGCAGTAATGGGGCCACGAAAGGGGGCCACAACGGGCGACAGCTGGGCCACGGAGGGCATGCGTATGAGGCCACGACGGGCGCGAGCGAACGGGGGCCACGAAGAGCATACGTATATGGGGCCACAGAAGGCGACTCCGCGGCCGAAGCCGCCGTGTTCGGCGGCGAGGCGGGGCATGAGGAGGAGCAGCATTGGGCGGAGACGGCGGTGTTGACCCCTCCTCCTGAGCCTTTCCTGTCTTTCTCCTAAGGCCCTAGGGTTTGCCTACCTTGACGGCTTGCCCACTCTTCACTTCATTTCCTCTTCCTCCTCCTCCTCCTCCTCCTCCTCCTCCTCCTCCTCCTCCTCCTCCTCCTCCTCCCCCCCTCCCCGCAGCCCCTCCTCCTCCTCCTCCTCCTCCTCATCCTCCTCCTCCTCCTCCTCCTCCTCCTCCTCCCGGGGAGGAGTGGGAGTCCCCCTCCCCGCAGCCCCTCCAGCTCCAGGGCCGCGAACTCCTCCACGCCCGCCGCGCGCGCGCACGCCCGCCGCGACAGCAGCCGGCCCAGCAGGCAGCGCCGCCTGTCGGCCGCGCAGGGCAGCGCCGCGGGCCCGGCGCGCTCCTCGCCGCCGACGACGGCGACGACGACGACGACGGCGACGGCGGCGACGACGACGGCGGCGACGACGGCGACGACGACGACGGCGGCGACGGCGGCGACGGCGGCGACGACGACGACGGCGGCGACGACGACGACGGCGGCGGTGGCGGCGGTAGCGGCGGCGGCCCCGGTGACCTCGGACGGTAAGATTTTAGCAGCCGGCGCTTTTCTCCGAGGTCGGCCCTTGGGGGCCGTCTCCGGGCGTCGGGGCCATCAAAAAATGAAATTCCTGAGGAGGAGGAGGAGGAGGAGGAGGAGGAGGAGGAGGAGGGGAGGAGGGAGGGGGAGGGGGAGGAGGAGGAGGAGGAGGAGGAGGAGGAGGAGGAGAGGAGGGGAGGAGGAGAGGAGGAGGATGGAGAGGAGGAGAGGAGGAGGAGGAGGAGGGAGGAGGAGGAGGAGGAGGCAGAGGGAGGAGGAGGAGGAGGAGGACGGAAGGAGGAGGAGGAGGAGGACGAGGAGGAGGAGGAGGAGGAGGAGGAGGAAGGAGGAGGAGCGGAGAGGAGGAGGAGGAGGAGGAGGAGGGGAGGAGGAGGAGGAGGAGGGAGGGGAGGAGGAGGAGGAGGGGGCGAAAAAAGCTCCCCCCCTCCCGGGAAGCGGTCGGGACCGCTGGGGCTGCGGAGCGAAGAGATGCTGGCAGAGGTCAAGAGCGACGGCGGCGAGGGCGAGGGAATGGGGAGAGAAGGAGGCGGGGGAGAGGGGGGGTGCGAGAGGAGAAGGGGAGCGCCAGGAGGAGGAGGAGGAGGACGACGACGACGACGAGGAAGAGGAGGAGGAGGTGGAGAACAAGAGAAGGGGGAGGAGGAAGGGGGACGGCGAGGAGGCACCGGAGGGTGAGAAGGGAGAGGAAGAGGAAAGTGGGGAGCAACGGGAAGGCAAAGGGGGAGCTAAGAGGAGCAGGGAGGAGGGAGAGAGAGGAGGGACCATGAGATCCGACGTGACGAAAGAATGCAACATCCTCCTCCTCCTCCTCCTCCTCCTCCTCCTCCTCCTCCTCAAACGAACAATACAAAACGGCCAGCCATCTTTCTGCGGCATCTTCGGGGCCGGATCCATCCTTCAAGGCCCGCGGCCCGACACAACGCAGAAGCGCCTGCTGCGAACTAACATCGCAACGCCAGGATCTCAGAGGAGGTGGGGGGTGGAGGGAGGGAGGAGGAGGAGGAGGCGGAGGAGGCGGAGGAGGAGGGCAGGGGGAGGGGGAGGAGGAGGAGGAGGAGGAGGAGGAGGAGGAGGAGGAGGGAGGAGGAGGAGGCGGCGGAGAAGGATGAGGAAGATGAGAAGGAGGTGGACCCACGCCGAGGTAAGAGAAGGAGGAGGAGGAGAGGAGGTAGGAGGAGGTCGAGGAGGAGGTCGAGGAGGAGGAGGAGGAGGGGAGCGAGGGACGAGGAGGAGGAGGAGGAGGAGGAGGAGGAGGCGGAGGAGGAGAGGAGGAGGGAGAGAGACGTGAGCGGAGGAGCAAGAGGGAGAGCAAAAGGGGGAACATAAGACCAGGGGAGAGGCAGAGGAGGAGGGAGGGAGGTGGGAGTGAGGAGGGTGGGTTGTCGAGGAGGAGGATGCGGAAGATCAAGGAGTTGGAGGAGGAGGAGGAAGGATGAGGAGGATGGAGGAAGGAGGAGGAGGAGGAGGGAGGAGGAGGAGGAGCGGGATGACGTCGAGGAGGAAGGAGGTCGAGGTAGAGGTCGTGTCCTCGCCCTCAGGCAGCAACGACAACAGCAGCTGGAACTCCGCCCCAGACGCGCCGGACGCGGGGCGCCAGGCGTCCGCGTCGACCGCCCATCGCCAACGGCCGTCGCCGCCAAGGCTCGGCAATCCGCCCGGTCCAGCCGACGACGACGACGACGACGAGGAGGAGGAGGAGGAGGAGGAGGAAGAGGAGGAGGAGGAGGAGGAGAGGACGACGGGGACGACGAGGGCGACGACAACGACAACGAGGACGAGGACGAGGACAAGGAGGACGAGGACGACGAGGACGACGAGGACGACGAGGACGACGAGGACGACGAGGACGACGACGACGACGACGACGACGACGACGACAAAGACGACGACGACGGCGGCGTCGGCGGCGCCGACGCCGACGCCGACGCCGACGCCGACGCCGACGCCGACGACGACGACGACGACAACGACGACGACGACGACTGCGACGACGACGCCGCCGCGGACGAAGACGACGCCGACGCCGACGCCGACGCCGACGCCGACGCCGACGCCGACGCCGACGCCGACGCCGACGCCGCCGACGCCGACGACGACGACGACGACGACGACGACGACGACGACGACGACGACGACGACGACGACGACGACGACGACCGGCCGCCAGGGGCCGAAACCATTCCATGCAGCGGATTTCGCACCTCCCATTTCCTTAGGAACAGGGAGAGCGACACCACCACCACCAGGCACCACCAGCGCGAGGAGCCACGGGGGTCCCCCTGGTGGTGTAGTCCGCTCCTCTCGCTCGAGACATCCCCCATCCCCAGCTCGGGGAGGGAGCTCCTCGCTGGAGGTGCCCCTCCCTGGTGGTGGTGCTGCTGGTGGTGGTGGCGGTGGTGGCGGTGGTGGTGGTGGCGGCGGCGGTGGTGGTGGTGTCGTTTCTCCTTCCCCCCCTTCCCGTCATCACCCCCCTCTTTGCCGCCCCCGCCGAGGAGGAGGAGGAGGAGGAGGAGGAGGAGGAGGAGGAGGAGGAGGAGAGGAGGAGGAGAGGGTCCCCCCTTCCCCTGTCCCCGCCGAGTGGCCCTCGCCGTCTGGACCCCGGGCCATCGCCCAAGTCTGCTGTGACCGTCCAGGCCGAGCCTCCCAGGAAAGCCTGGGGACACCGTGGGCCCTCCTCCTCCTCCTCCTCCTCGCCCTCCCCTCCCCCTCCTCATCTCCTACTCCTCCTCCCTCCCTACTTCATCATCCTCCTTCTTCTCCTCCTCCTCGTCCTCCTCCTCCTCCTCCTCCTCCTCCTCCTCCTCCGGGGCACCGCCGGCACCACCCGACTCTCCCGACCCGATCTTGAAAAGGGCGCCGGAGCTGTCGGCCCCCCAGGCGAGAGCATGCCCTTGCCAGGGGGGGAGGGGCTCTCCGCCGCCACGAGGCCTCCTGGATGGGGTCCGAGCATAGGAGGTCGGAGGGCAGCGCCGCATCGCCGATGCAACGACGATTGGGCGACGTGATCCTCCGAGCACATCCACTCGGACCCCATCCGGGAGGCCTAGAGCCACGGGGCCGCAGATTCCCGAGCCCGGGATGGCCGGGCCCCAGCGGCCCTCTGGCGCCAGCAGCGAGTACTGCGCCAGCGCGGCCCGCGCCGTCGGCGACGGTTGGGGGAGGGACGTCAACGAGGGGAGCGTCTGCGAGACGGGTGCCCCGAGGAGGTGCAGAAGGTGGAAGAGGGTGGAGAAGAAGGAAAAGAGGAAGATGATGAGGAGGAGGAGGAGGACGAGGAGAAGGAGGAGGACAGGGAGGAAGTGGACGAGGAGAAGGAGGAGGAGGTGGAGGTGGAGGAGGAGGACAGGGAGGAAGAGGGTGGAAGAGGAGGAGGAGGAGGAAGAGGAGGAGAATGATGATGATGATGATGATGATGATGATGATGATGATGATGATGATGATGATGATGATGATGATGATGATGATGATGATGATGCTGATGATGATGATGATGATAATGATGATGATAATGAGGAGGAGGAGGAGGAGGAAGGGAGGAGATGGAGGAGGAGGAGGGGAGGAGAAGAGGAGTAGGAGAGGAGAGGACGAGGAGGAGGAGGGGGACAGGGAGGAAGAGGAGGGGACAGGGAGGAAGAGGAGAGGCCATAGGGAGGAAAAGAGGAGGACAGGGAGGAAGAGGAGGAGGAGGAGGAGCAGAGGGCGCAGGGGTAGCGAGGAAGAAAGAGTGTGTACGCGGAGGAGTAAGCGGAGGAGGAGGAGGAGGAGGAGAGGAGAGAGGAGGAGGACCGGAGGAGGAGGAAAGGAGGAGGAGAAGAAGCGGAGGAGGAGGAGGAGGAGGAGGGGGGGAGGAGGAGGAGGAGAGGAGGAGGAGGAGGAGGAGGAGGGGGAGGAGGAGAAGGAGGAGGAGGATGATGAGGAGGAGGAGGAGGTGAAGGAGGAGGAGGAGGCGGAGGAGGATGAGGAGGAGGAGCAGGAAGAGCAGGAGGAGGAGGAGAAGGAGGAAGAGGTTGGACGAGGAGGAGGAGGAGGAGGAGAAGGAGGAGGAACCCGAGGAGGCGGAGGAGGAGGAGGAGGAGGAAGAGGTTGGACGAGGAGGATGATGGTGAGGAGGAGGGGGAGGGGGAGGAGCAGGAGGTAGAGGAGGAGGAGGAAAACGAGGAGGAGGTGTGGAGCGGAAGAGGCGGAGCAGGATGAGGATGATGAAGACAATACTGAGGATGCGGATGCTTCTGCTGATGACGTTGATGACTATGACGATGATGACGATGACGATGATGGTGGTGGTGATGATGATGCTGATGTTGCTGACGATGATGCTGCTGCTGATGATGCTGATGTGGATGATGATGCTGATGTTGCTGCTATTGATGACTCTGCTTGTGATGATGCTGGTGATACTGCTGATACTGATGATGATGATGCTTCTGATGATAATGATAATGATGCTGACTATGATGATGCTGATGATGATGACGAGGAGGAGGAGGAGGTGCTGATGATGATGACGAGGAGGAGGAGGAGGTGGAGGAGCAGGCTAAGGGGAGGGGGGCGAGGTGGAAGATGAGGCAGAGGGAGAGGAAAAGAAGGGGGCGGAGGGGAAGGAGACGACCAGGAGGAGTGAGGAGGGGATAGGAGGGAGAAGAGGAGACGATGGAGGAGGAGGAGGAGAGAAGGAGGAGGAGGAGGAGGAGGATGAAAAAAAATTAAGGTGAGGAGGGGAGTGGAAGGAGGAGGCTGAGGAGGAGGAGGAGGAGGT